AGAGAAAAAAATCTTACCTACCCCATTGTACTCTTGTCCACTTTCTTAAGTTTCCCTTTGAAACTGATAAAAATTATACTGACTATAAGAGAGTAACTTAGCTGACAGGAATTCATTTCCATTTCTGACGGTTCCTTTTTCTACTGCTTATTTACAGTTAAATGTTAAATCCTTGACTGCTTTGGATATCACATTAAATTCTTATTCGCGTAATATCTTGAACTGTTTACAGTCTTGAAATTAATTCTAGACTGAACAAATTCTAAATTTAACTTTCCTGCGTTAATTTTTGAAAATGACGTTGTTTCTGACAGTGTCAACTCCCGAGTTCACATTGTACCCTTCTACTATGGGTATTTATCTTCTGACTTTAACCTAGCTGTCTGGCAATTAAGGATTTTCTCTTCTTTTAAAATGTCAGTGCATTTTTTTTATACGCTGCTAATATCATGCTATGTTTGGAGATTCTTGAAATTAAGATTCTCAAACTATACTTGTACTGAAAATTATTCCGCCTTAAAGTACGACGAGAATTTATCGATCGAATTTACTTGATCAAAAACATGAACTTAACATGAAATCTGCTACAGAATTTAGGAATACATATATTAATTCCATAAATCCTTCAGTCACATAATATTTGTCTAAGAAAATCCTTGGCTTAAATACATAAATTATATTATTTAAGGTCTGGGATTTTCTCAGTCATTACAGTTGGCTTGCTAAAACAATGCAAATTCAATGAAAATCTAAAACCTTTGATGTTATACCCTATAGATAAAGTGCACATGTCATATTCAAAAAAAAATTATAAAAAAAAAATAACAATTATAGCTTAACCACTTGATCACAAGCCCCATTCTTGATTGTTCAATTATCAGATAGATATAATCAAGCAAATCGTGTTTGCTATAATCATGCAGTATGCCTTATCGACCCCCGAGTGCTGTAAGAGTCATAGTGTTTTTTGAAGATGACTCTGGCTTGTTGGGGACATAATCTCGTTCTTGTGAATCTATTTCCATAAAATAGCCTGGCCGTTTTGGGTGAGGCAGCTCGCTCTCACTACCTAACATGAGAACGACAGACGACATGCGGGGTCTATCCATTGGATGTTGTTGCACACACAAGAGACCGACATGTATGAACCGCAACACCTGTGGAAGATTGTCATATGAATCCCTCAAGCATACGTCGATTAATTCAAATGGCCTTCCTTCGTTTAGCAGCATCCATGCCTACAAATATCGAAAACAATGTGTATTCATCACTTTAACAATGTATGGATCCAAATACAAAATGCATGTTTTGAGACGTACGTATCCAATGAGGGTAAGGTTGCGGTTCTCATGGTGAAAGCGTATACATCTCTTTCCACTTATAATCTCCAACACCAATATACCAAAGCTAAAAACGTCGGATTTTGTTGAGAATAGACCATTGAAAGCATATTCTGGTGCCATGTATCCACTACAATCATGACATCATTCAAAAGATTCAAATGTCATCATATGCACTAGAGTATCCATATGCAACAACGTGGCATATGCCGCCACTCAGATCTTAAGATTTTAATTGTGTCTTATTAAAATCATAAAAATTAAACTTTTTCCTCACCAAAAAAAATAAGAAAAAAGAAAACCATAGCTATGTCCACAGTCAATAAAAAAAGGTTCACTTATATTTTTTATATTGTGCATCATCTGTCTCCTTTTTTCTTTTTGGCCCCACCACAACGCACGCATGTGCCATAGAATTTCATATTTTTTTTATATAAAGAGAGCTCTTAAGAATTCTCACTGTGTTCCTGCGATTCTGTTTGTATTTCCTTCTGTTTGATCTCCTCCAAAAGTTTTAGCCAAGCCAAAGTCTGAAATTTTTGGATTCATCATATTATCAAGCAGTATATTACTAGCTTTGAGATCTCTATGTACAATCCTCAATCTAGAATCTTGGTGGAGATATTGAAGCCCCCGAGCAATTCCACATATTATTTCGAAACGCTTAGGCCATTCTAAGAGTGTACTTTGTTGTTGATCTGGGAAAATAGCTCCTCCAAGTTAGACAAGTAATGACAATATAATAAGAAAATAGAAAATTTAATTCCATAAATTAATAGGGGGTCTCACCAAAAATGAATAAATCCAGGCTTTTGTTGGGCATGTATTCATAAATCAATAATTTTTCATCTCCTTGAATGCAACAACCAAGAAGCTTTACAAGATTCCGATGCTGAAGCTTGGCAATTAGTATTAGTTCATTTTTAAACTCGTCTACTCCTTGCCGAGAACTCAATGAGAGCCTCTTCACAGCAATCTCTTGTCCATCTTCTAGCTTACCCTGAAATTTTACATTGTACACAAAAAAAAAAAAAAAAAAAAAAAAAAAAAAAAAAACCCTCTTTTGCTTTCCCCCGAATATTTTATTATTAAAAAAAAAAAAAAAAAAAAAAAAAAAAAAAAAAAAAACCCTGTATAAGTTTTAAACTTTCCTGTTATCCATTTTGTTCATGAACTAGCATATAAAAAGCTTACTCTGTATACAGGTCCAAAACCGCCTTCTCCAAGCTTATTGTTTGCTGAAAAATTATTTGTGGCAATACTTACTGCAGCTAGGCTGAATAATGGAAGCTCAAAGTCTTCCTCTTTTGCTCTGTTTTTCTTAGTATCTTTGAAAGATACCAAAAGTTCAACCAAAAGGACAGAAACTCTAATTATCAAAAAAGAAAAAAAAAAAGAGTTTCTTATGCGATAAAAAGGTTTTTATTATTATTATTATTATTAACCCTATTAAGAATAAGAAAGTTTACCGTACCGTTTTGAAGCAATCAAAAGTGTTAAGAAGTCGGCTTTCTTATGCAACTATCACAGTTTTAAACCATTCTCCTTATTATTAGTTGTAATTGTTGTGTTGTTGTTTAAGAATATAATTGACTAATACTACATTGAATTAGCCCCTCAAGACTGTTGCATACACACGCTTTAGAGTAAACACGAACAATATTATCGATCAGTTAGGTTTTTTTTTTTTTTTTTTTTTTTTTTTTTTTTGTGGTGAGCATCGACGAATTATGTTAGCAAACATGATGGAAGCAATAGTATAAGCATTAGAACATAAATAATTCGACTTGCTTAACTTAATTTCTAGACAAATTTTTTGCTAGTCAAAGTCAATTTTTTTGCCTCCATAATTGACTTTAATTTGGGGCTACCCACATGGGGTCCAAAGTTGATAAATATGGCCGAATTTATTTTTCAAAGATGACAACCCTCATTTATTTATTTACTTTCTGCAAAGCAAAAAAGAATAAGAAAAGATATTGTTACCTTTTGAGCGTTTCCTGCAAATGCAATAGCCAAGTAAGAGCATCCCCGAAACACCTCCGATGACAGACGCTACGACTACCACTGCTCTCACCATGTTATAATATTTTCTTCTATTCAGTTTTGCTAGTCCAACAAAAAAACTAAAATGAATCACAGCTAGAAGATATATCATGGACTTTCTCGGAGACGATAATATATTTAAATATAAATCGTGACATAGCTGAAGATATATCGTGATATTGTGTGACAAAATTAGGCTCATACCAATTTCTTGAAGTGACAAACGGATAAAGAGATCATGTCCACCAGTTCGAATTGTACTAATATCTATTAGATCACCATACCACACGACACAACCATTTCCATAAGCCATACAAGAACAGTTGTTTATGCATATGTCCCGACATTCCTGTGGGCTCAAGTTTCTTGTGAACATCCTTGAATGTGTTGCATCTGGCAATTTCAACCCTGACACTTTGATAAAGCCACCTTTATCTGTCTCCAGGCAGTTGAGTGGAGTTTTCCTTACACATCCGTCAGACCAGTCCATTAGATCCCATTTCCATTGAGACTTGGGCTTGAATCCAACTAGACATTGGCAGAATGGATTCGCATCGATGTTACAAATCCCATTAGCCCCGCAGAGACCATACTTGTCGCATTCGTCCCTAGGCACTGTGCTGTAAAGCCCCCATTTTTGATCTGCCTCAAGCCATATCCAGCTTTCAAGCATTAACGTTGTTTGGTTCATAGCCGTTCTTAAGAGGACCGACTTATCCTTCTGGTTGTAGATGTAATAGATGTGACCATCATTGTAAACAAAGTCAAAATAATAAATTGGATTCGACCTTAGTTCAGGCGAAGAGGTGAGAGGAATGAAACCCCGGGATCCACCACGATAGAGTCAAAATATAAAGTTGTCGACCAAACTCAATCCCATATGTGAAATTTCCAGGACAAGGGTCATCCCATCTCTTCCACGCTGAGATTCTCCGTTCAAGACGCATCGTCAAATCCCATCCCATTTTCATGCCTGGTAACAATGTATCTGAAGGATAGTCAAAGCTTTGCCACAAATAGTTCTCCGGATCTGTATCATTTTCATTTCTTAGTACAAGATTTCCAGAATCTAGAAGCTCTACTATTGGCTTCTGGGCTTGCATCGATGACCTCGTTGACCACACAACAGTCTTGTTCTGATACAAGAGCACAATATCTCCAACGTTGTTTATCATCAACAAGCCCGAGTAATCGTTAATTGGGTTGCATCGGTTCGCAACCCAAACTACAGTTTGAACTGGAATTTTCTTGTACCAAATTCCCACATAACGATTCTTGGAACTTCCTCGACTGAAGAATCCAAGCTCAAACCTACTTTCTTTAGAAACCAAAGTTGTGCCCCCATCGCTGATAGTTTGGGATTGATCAATGCTATCAGCTGCAGAGGAAACTATATGGAAGAGAAGCAGGAAGAAAAAAGCCATAGGCATAAAAGTCAAAACGCCCATTTTTTCCTTTTGGTTTTAAATTTCTTGCTTTCCCTGCTTAATGGGAAAGGAGAGAAATTGAAGGTAGAGTAGGAATGCCTTGCATTACACCATTAAGATGCTGTATGCATAACTCAAAAGTCATTGGTGCTAAAATACAAATTGTAGGGACATGTTTTTTTCAAGTAGATAGATGTCTTTCTCTGACGACTTCCTGCAATTGACTGTTCGTCCAAGTAAGCAAAGGCGGCTAGTATCGGCAAACCAACAATGGGATTTAAAGGACTGGAATAATTGGTACTCACAACCTTGACATTAAGACAAGGTAAATTCAGTGCACATTGCTCAACAGTAATTATGCCTATAAAAATATACTTGGAGATCATCAGTGGAAAAAGAGGTAACTAAAGTCTAAATCTGTAATTGTTCTACGATTCTTTGATTTAACCTAGAACCAATAGGTAGGCAAAGAATTTACCAATTATTTGTCGTTTTGTGTAAATTTATAGGAGGTCCCTTTTGATGAGAACATAGCCATCAAAGTCAATCCAGAAGAAAGACAATCAACCTTAAACGTCCATCAAGCCAATTGCATGGCCAACTTGCATATTCCAAGAGGCTTAGACGCAATTTCCAACAAGGGACCAAGTCAAATTGCGGCCAAAGAGTTGATTTTATCATAAATTCCATCATAGGCGTTTTTAAGGAAGGAATTAGATTCAAATTCGGATTTCTTCCCTAGGATAAGCTTTAGGCTTGCGTTTATCTTGTTTTTAGGTTTATCTTATTTTAGGCTTCTATCTCATTAAAGATAGAATAGGACTTTTCAATTTTTAAACATTTTCAGCTTGTTTTCGGCTATTTCAGGCTGAAAAATGAAATTAATGAAAGTTTTGATGTTTATTCACTTTGTGAGATATTCTTCTTAGTTCTTGAAGAACTATTCCGAACTTATCAAGGTTTTCCTTGTGGCGTTCACCCTTGACTTATCAAACGGAATTTCCATACTCGTTTGTGGCGTCTTCACCATACCAAGGTTCTTACTTCGCTAAGCAACGGGTTGCGGTTTCCATCAATTCTTGAAGACCTTGGATCGTATCCCATATTTGGCTACGGGTTTTGTCACTTCGTTGGCGGGGTTCGTATCACCTTTAACTGTTTTTCTCTCAAAAGTCGGTCTTTCAAAAGGCGGTCTTTGTTATGAATTTTGTCCCAAAAATGATTCTTGAAATGAAGACACAACTCATGATTGAGGTAGCCTATCTGTAAAGGACTATCATGATTGGGTCTTGAATATTAAGGCTCCTTCCTACTAGCTCGGTACTCAATTCAACGTGCCCGAGACCACACCCCCACCTATCTTGATCAGTGCTAGCACATGACTAATGCTCCGGTTGTTTCGAGAGTTCAGATCTAATTTAAAATCATAATTCTTGATTTATTATGGTATTTTATTCTCACAAAACATTTAAATAAGGTCACCTAAATTGACGCTTTACTCGTTGATGGGTAAGGCCCGCAATCAAGGTTTTCAGCGAATATTCCTGTCAACATTTGAGAGCCTCTTTAGCATGCCCAGGGGATGTGCAACCATCAGTTGGCCCATTGTTAACGCCATAGGATCAAATTTGTTCCATTAGATTATATATTCAAGCCTACAGGGATCATCATTCTCCGTAATTCTACTGCTCACCATTATGGTTTCTTTCCAATTTTCTTTCAATTTTGATCTGTTAAGGTTGTCTGCGCTCTGGGTGTTATTTATAGACATCGCTTATAATTAAGGCGACTCTGCCATTTTCCAAAGATCTCACATGAATGTACAAGATAAATGCAAAATATTTGTAAACCAATATTTACCTCTGCTATAACATTGTTTCTTTATGAAAAAAAAATAAATAAATTATAATAATAAAAACAGGGATCTTTATTGATCAGCAAAAGGAACAGAGAGAAAAGAGGAAGAGCTTTACTCGAGCAACCCAGTTCCAAAAGTACAGAGAACTCTCAAAAATTTGACAAAACCAAAACTACAATTAAAAAAAATATACAATCTCAGTAGCCATGACGTCACGTCCATTGGGTGGTAAACCAAGAATATATAAAAACAAAAATTAAAACTTAAAAGCGATTAGTCCTCATCGGCCCTCCAACACTGAAATGGTAATATTGTTTGTTGTAGATGAGTCCAGGCATTCTAATGGCACATCTGACATGGATGCAACGCAACACTTGGAATGAATCATGCGAGTCCCTAAAGCAAGAATAAAGAAGTTCAATTTCCATGCCTGCCTTCATCAGCTTCCATGACTAGAGTATTCCAAAAATATATATATATATATATATATATATATATA